TTGGGAGAATATTATGCTAAGCAAAGTAAGCCAATCCCAAAAAACTAAAGGCTGAATGTTTTGTCTGATTAGTGGACGCTGATCTAAGATTGGCGGGAGGGGGGGAACATGGGAAGAATGGAGGAATTTGGGATTGGGCAAAGGATAGGGTTGGGGGGTTATGAGGATAGGAAAGATGGTGGAATGAGATGACAACATTACCCTAGGTACATACATGACTGCACAATGGTATGTCTCTATACTATGTACAACCAGAGAATTGAAATGTTGCACTCCAGTTGTGTACGATGAATTGAGATGCATTCTGCTGTCATGTACAATTAAGAAGGACAAATAAAAAATTTAAAAAATAATACTGATACAAACCTCTTCCCTTCCTGAGATTCTAGGATAAAGATTAGGTACTTTTTTGGAGAGATTCCTAGGAAGTTACAGTATGTACCCAGGGTTACGAAATTCTGTAGTAGATAGAAGAAAAAGAACAAAGGATAGAGGCTCAATATTATAAGCATATATATTTAAGAAAGAGAGCACAGCAGAAATGTGTGAAAATATAAGAGGAACTCCTAAAATCAAATGACAAAGAAATACTAACAATTAACCAGTACAAAAGACATACCTAATACTAATAAAATATTAATGAAAATAAGGATGTTGACAATAATAATAATATAAAACAAAATAGAATTAACTTGAAAATACATCAAGGATATTTTATATTCATAAAATTAATAGTGCATGATAAAGACATAACTTTTGCAACTAGCATAGCTTTGGCATGTATAAAGCAAACCTCACAGAAAAATGACAATGTTAACTAATCTCTCTCAAAATTAAGAGATGAGATAGCAACCTATTTAGTCTCTTTACAAGATTTTATCACAAAGGTCACATTCTCTATTCATAGGGCTATAAAATTAGAAACCACAACAGAAGACTGGAGAAGAATATAATTTCTAATTATGTTAGTCAGCTTTCCACTACTAACAGAATACATAAGAAAATGAACTTAAAAAGAGAAAAAACTTATTTTGACTAATGGGGGTTTCGGTCTATGCTTAGTTGTCCCTGTTGCTTCTGGGTGTATAGTAAGATTGTACCTAAAGGGGGAGGGGAGTACAGGGTATGGAAGGCCAGCAAAGAAAGAGGAAGAGATCCCCCTTTGAGGGAATGCTCCAAATGACCTAAATCCTCCCCTAGGCTCTACCACTTCCAAATAGTGTCAAGYTGAGAGTAAAGTCTTTAACATGTGGGCCTTTAAGTAGACATCCAGATCCAAATTATTGCAATAAATAAAAAGACTCCCTTTAATAACTCAAGGGCAAAAAAAAATCAAACCTAAAAATAGACATTTTGTGATAACTAGTGAGTACTCTTACATCAAAACCCAAGCATAAACTTCCATTTCTGACCAAGATAAAGTAACAGGAATCAGATATGCCCTCTTTCCTAAACTAATACAAAGGCAAAATACATTAAAACAAGACCCAGACATCAGGAACAGAAGACAATGAACCCTGAGAAATGAGAAACAAATGAGGTGAGTCCAATTGCCTCAGCTTGCTACCTTGAGGAGATTTTCAGGTTGTAGTCTAGAAGGGTTGGGCACGGGGTAGGCAGAGCCTGGGAAACTTCCTGAAATTGAGAAGAAACAGATGGGGGTCCAGGGAAACCGTGGCAGCTGGAATGCCCTACACTCAGAACTGAAGTGCGGTAAGCATGGGAAGGGAACTGCAAGAAACCCCAAAGGGTTTTCTCCAGTATTCTTAAGAGTACTGATTAGCGTATAGGTTTGAAAAATCTATACAAGGCTGGGGAAGGAATTTCCCCCGAAGAATTAGAAGAAACACACTCATCTAAGAACAGAATCAATGTCTGTTCTCAAACCAGAGTAGAAAATTTCATAACTCATAAGGCACCTATTAGAATATTCAGGAGAGTCTAGCCTCAGTAATTAACCTTGTACCAAATACTTTTTGAATACTACCAAGCAATATTAAAAGCAAATCTTGAAGGGAAACAACCGTTTCTATTTAACTTTAACTGTGTCCTAGAACAAAGTTCAAGAATACAAAAATATTAATCATCTAATATAGTAAAATTTAAAATGCCCAGCACATAATCAAAATTACAAGTGATACAAAGGAGTGGGAAAAATACATCCAATAGGAGTCTGCAAACCAATAAAAACCAACCCAGAACTAACAAGAATATAGAATTAGYATAGGCATTAAAAAGCGTTATAAACTGTATTGCCTACATTCAAAAAACTTAAGTAGAGACAGCAAAGATAAAGATCTGAATCCATCTTATGAAGGAAAAAACCTACAAGRTGTAAGATGATGAATATATAAATTATGGCTAATTGGACACCACAGAAAAAAGGATTAGTGAAGTTCAAGCATAGCAAGGCAAACTATTCAAAATGAAACATGAATAGGAAAATTAATTTGAGAGCTGGGGATGTGGCTCAAGCGGTAGCGCGCTCGCCTGGCATGCGTGCGTGCTGCCCGGGGTTCGATCCTCAGCACCACATACAAAGATGTTGTGTCCACCGAAAACTAAAAAAAATAAACAAAAATTCTCCCTCTCTCTCCCTTTCCCTCTTTAAAAAAAAAAAAAAAAAAAAACAATTTACTCTGGAACACATGAAGCAATCTCAGATAAATGCAATTGGAGTTCCCAAGGAAAGTATACCAAAAAAAAATTCAAATCATGGCCAAAATTTGATGAAACTATAAACCTACAGATGCATGCAGCTCAATGTAGTGTAAGCATAAATGACACAAACAAAAGTACATCAAAGCACATTATGATCTATTGCTCAAAACCAGCCAGAGAAAAATGACACATTATATACCCAATAGCAGATAAGTAAAAGCACAATGGAGCAACATTTAAGTATTAAAAAAAATTTTAAATCCAACTTAGAATTCTATACCCAGCAAAAACGTATTTTGAAAATCAAAGTGAATGAGACTTCAAACCTGCATATGAGAAATATTAAAGGAAGTTTTTCAGGCAGAAGATTAATATCAAAGTATAAATTGATCTAGATAAAGAAGTGAAGAGCTTCAGAAATAGTAGCTATGGGAATAATAGGGTTTTTTTTTCCCCCCCTTATTGGAGTCTCCCTGAAGTCATTGTAACAAAAGTAATACTACCATGGGGAGCTTTTAACAAAAATAAATGTAGAATGTATGTCAGTAGTACAGCCTCTCACAAGTAAGTATGGTGGGAACATAAAAAATAATCAGGAACTAATAAGAGACTATAAGTAGAAACATAGGGAGTTTTATGAAATAAACACTATATTCAACTAAACAATAAATTTGGATAAAGGAATGGTTTTCTAGAAATGTAAATTATCCAAATTGACTCCTGAGAAAGTAAAAAATCTGTATAGATCAGTGATCATAGAGAAAATTGAGACAAGAATTAAAGAGCTACTTCTAAGGCAGAGCCACATAATTGTATAAATGAGCTCAAAAAAATCTTGAATAGATTCAGTTATCCCCTGGACTTAGAAATAAGATAAGCTTACCAATTCATTTTACAAAGTTAATAGAACCATAATTCCAAAACCAAATTAATACACAATTTTTGAAAATCTTTGTCATTCATAATTACAKATTTACAACTTACTGAAACTGAAACCTGAGAAAATTAATAGATCTAAGAATGAATTTGAAGCAAAAAATATATCATTTTAAGACAGAATGCAACTATGATTCAGGTTTATGCAATCTATTCAAAAAAGTTTGTTAAATTCTCATTTTCCTTACTCAATTAACTGACCATTGTTCTTTCTTTGTATCAGAAGTTCATCAATATTATATATATGCCAAGTCTTGGATTCTGGAAATTCTTATCTGGTGAATAAGATATGATAGGTCACTGTCTTCATAGAACTGTCTGAAGGAAGATAAAATTGTAGTACAGTAAAAAGTCTTTAATAAGAAATACAAGGCACTATAGGAATACATAAATTGACAATCTAGATTTTGGAGTTCTGGAAGGGCTCTCTAAAGGAAGTCATGCTTCAACTGATCAGTGGACAGTTCCTGAGGGCTAATGAGGCAGAGTGATGAGAGGGGATTGAAGTAGGCAGAAACCAAAGTGAGGGGTCATATTAGGTTAAGAATTTCATATTTAAAGAGGCCTTGGAGGTGTAATTCAGGTAAATCACAAAAGATTTATATCCCCAAGTTTTACAGTATATAAAACAAATTTGAGGCAGGCTGGAAGGAAAAAAGAGAGTGCTGTTGGAATAATCCTGTTCAGATGATTGCCCATTCTACCATGGTGGCAATGGATATGGAAAAAGTGGTATAAAAATTGATTGGATGGGGAATGGTGGAGTCGATTTGGGGGCTATTCCAGTAGGGCTGTCTCATTCTGTTGCTTTACATAGTATTCGGTTTGGTTATTTTCAACTAGGTGAAATAAGTGAAAAAGATTCACTGGAACTTCAAGGGTTCCCTAAAAAGCTACCATAAGAGAAAATGATTATTCAAAGACAAGAACATCTGTGAATAAAATGAAAAGATCTGAACCATAAAGTGCAGAAAAGCAGTACTATCATTATCTTCAAATCTACTGAATAAGTTTTCATATCGGCAAGACACCYGAAAATAACAGGCTCAATGGAAACAAATCCTACTATTAAACTGCTTAAGCCAACAAATACTTTCTTCTTAATTCTGTGCCAAGTAGTCACACAGCCCCATTTACCTACGCACAGAACTGAACATCCTAGAGACCAGGGAGAGTAACTAGTTTATTGTACTCCAAACTATATACCAAAGGTCACTGAAACCTAAATCTAAATTACCAACTTCAGTATCTACAAGAAATAAACTTCAAGATGGTCTCAGTTAAAGATTGACCACCACCAACTAAACAATTATTGAATAAAAGTATGTTACCTACTTAGTAATTGTCTCTGAAGTTAGTGATGCCAAAAAAAGAAGAAAAAGACAAAAGACACCACACTCCTTTTTGTTTTTAATATATTAAAAAGCAACATAGTACAAATGGTGTGGTATTAAAAAGGATTCAGATTTTTCAGGAACGAATTTTTATAAACATTTCTTCAATGAAAGGGAAACAGCATCTTGATACATAAAAGTTTGGTTAAACAATTTGATTTTAAAATTTTAAAACCAGAAAATGTTAACATTACATTCTTTTCCAATATTCAAACAAAAAAAGAGTGAACTGTACAATCTCCTTGATAATAAAATGTGTCTTTGTATTCACATCCTGGGAACATTGAAAATGTTAAAATTTCTAAAGTCTGAGTGACAGATGCAGCACTTAAAGGCTTCATGAATTTTTTCCCCAAAGASAGTATTTTCAGTAAAACATTTTTCCATTTTATCTGACTATGCACTGATATTTTTTGTTCTTCCTGAAAAAGATTTATACTAACACTGTAATTTTTAATGTAAAAATATACATGTAAAGATATTTCATTTCCTGAGACCAGTCATACAACATGATTGAATGAACAAATTCTATAATTTTAGACTGAAATARTATGTGTACATTTATATGTTCAATTGGGGTAAAACTCAAAAAAGCATGTCATAGAATTTACACTTAAATTCTCTCAGTTATGCAATATGATTTATCCCCAAACTTAACCCAATAAGCGTTCTCAAATAAAATGTCAATAAAATGTATCACTGAAAAGAAAGTTTTTTTCTAATTTATTAACAAAATACAGATAGCCTTTGCAGACTATCAAGTTGGATGTTGTTATATACACCAAAATCTGATTCACTAACAAACTGCAATACAAAAGGACAACAGATAATTAAAATATTTGCTTTATAATACAACCACTCTATACAATTCACCCTTCCTAAACTACCTAAAATRAGTAGGAATTGTGGCATTTCTTTTSCATAAAACCCTTTCCTCTTCATAAAGCCCTGAGGTGAAAGGTTATTAATGTAATAAAATTGAAACCACAATTCTTCTCATTTCTGTATTAAACTGTAGCTCTAGGTTTTAAAAAACTTATAAAGAAATGTGGCAACTTGTAAAGCTGCTTTATAGTTTTTCAAAATATTTCCATACCAACTTAGTCAAACAGGCCTAAAATGATCCCATGAAACAATGTCCGTTTACTAACAGTTAGTGTCGAGAGGAGCGCCATTTTCCATCTCTACTGCTGTCTCTTCTGTTATCATACTCATGGCTCCAGCCATCATGATTCCTATCTTCATAGAAGAAATCATCTCTGTTTCCTCTGTAATGATGATCAGATCCATGATCAGTATAACGTTGTTCGCGGCTATAATGTCTATCTGAAAGGTAAGGATGAGAATTCTGTCTGACTTTACGCTGTGATGATGATGCATCTTGGCGCCACTGGGAACTTGAAGACTGATTGAAAGTATGATTATGTGACTGAACTGATGGTGAAAATCCTGACTGATCCACATGTGAAGACCCAAATTTCCCACCATATGACATCTGTCTCAAAACATTGTTCATCTGAAGAAAGAAGAAAAAGAAATGTTAACTGCAAATACTTCTAGATATCAAAGCTAATATATATTTGGTCACAGTTAACCAAAGTGACAATGAAAGAAAAGCAAAATCATTCTTGCCTACACAGAATCTGTATTAAACCTAACAATACAATAGCCTCAATCATCCCACTGTATACCTATAAGATACTTATAAATACTTCATCTTGCCCTCAAGAATACAACTTGGGAAGAGCACATATAAAATGACCATGTAAGTCACTGCGTAATGAACATATAAAGAATTGAGACCTCAGTATCATCAAGAAAGGCTTCATAAAAGTGGCCTATGATGTATTAAAAGAACAGATGGAGTAATTTAAGGAAAATGTTTCAAGGGGAAGGTATGGAAGGAAAGAAAATTGTAAAGATAATAGGGAAACACAGAATGGGTTCAAAGAACAAATAATTCTGGCTGAGACAGGTTACAGATCTTAGAAGCAATTAACAGTTCTAGAAGTTAAGGTTTAGAAGGGTTTATTGGAATAAGACAATGGATATGACTAGTGAATAAGTTAAGAGAACACTAATGAGGGGAAAATGGAGGCATGGTAAATGACTAGGCCAATTAGTTTCCAAACTCTGCCTTTGGATACTTATTTTGCAGACCATTAAAATATAAAAACCTGTGGGAAAACAAAAAGAAAGAAATAAACTTAAGAACTATGGCAAATAAACAAGCAAAATGAAGGACATGTTCAAATAAGTGGAAACAAAGATGAAACACTAAAGGACAGTCTTACTGTGATTTTATTATAAAAAAGACTACAATGTTCAAGGCTGGTCAAGAAGACTGAAGTATATTAAAATATTTGAGGAAGTTTATAAGAAGTCATTCGGGACACACACAACAAGAGCTTCAGAGACTGACTCACCTATAGTTATATATACACACAGACACAAACACACACTAATGATGGTTGAAAAGAAATACAAAAGAAAATGTAGGGGCTGGGGTTGTAGCTTAGTGGCAGAGCGCTTGCCTAGCATGCGTGAGGCACTGGATTCAATACTCAGGACCACATAAAAATAAATAAATAAAGGTATTGTGTTCATCTACAACTAAAAAATATATATTTAAAAAAAATCTTAAAAAAGAAAATGCAGTTTTACTTCTACCTTCAGATTTCTAAATATATGTGTCAGCCCAATGAAAACTAAAATGAAAAAAATTTATAAAGATCATGCTAGTTTAACAAAAATTTGAGGAAAAAGTTAATACTAAGAATTTCAAAAGATAATTTTGCCTAAAAGACCTAAGTAATGAAACCTCCAATAAAGTTAATTAAAAACAATTATCTGATATAACATGAATATTTAAAAGTGTTTTTTTTAAGGCAACTCAAAAGTTGAAAAAATATCAGCCTACCACTGCTTGTCTCTGATAATTTTCTGGAGAAGAAAATGATCTCTGTATTACTTGTGCCGATGCTGTCACGTTATCCACAGTCCTTTCATACCTGCTAAAAATAAGAAAACCAAACATATAACCATTCATTCAACAAATATTTACTCAACACCAATCATAAGCAAGACACAGTTCTCAAAGATGTAAATGAACAAAACAGACAAGGTATGTGCACTCATAGCGCTAAGAGAAGAACACAGACAGAAGGGTATTTTCACTTGATTATAAGTGATATAACATGATTAAAGACCCTGGGGATGGGAGGTGAAAAAGGAAGTTTTATTTTAGGTAAGTTGGTCAGGGACCACCTTTCCAGAAAGGACACATTTGAAGTGAGAGCCAAATAACAAGATCATCTGGAGGGAAAACATTCCCACCTGAAGAAGGAATAGTGTGAGGAACCAAATTCATTTATAAAACAGATTTTACTGATACRTAAGCATGATTCTTTTGTTTTTTGTCTTATCTGTGACTATCTTCATATTGCAATGGCAGAGACACAGACTATACGGCCTGTAAAGTCTAAAATATTAACTATCTGATCTTTCATAGAAAAAAATCTTGTCAATCTCTGAGCTAATGCAAAGGTCCATACTGAGAACTAAAATGGGAAAATCTGATTGATTACATAAAGATAAGAGAAATAGAATAAAAAAGTGATTGAATGTAGACTTGTGGCTTAAAAAATTGGGTAAACATTTACTGTGACATGAAAGATAAATAGCTTTTGGGTGGTAAGAAATTAAGAGTTCTATAACATACATAAGATTTTATATTATTTAAAAATATGTCTTTCTGGGGCTGGGATTGTGGCTCAGCGGTAGAGTGCTCGCCTAGCACAGGTGCAACCTGAGTTCGATTCTCAGCACCACATAAAAATAAAGGCATTGTGTTGTGTCCATCTACCAAAAAAAAAAAAAA